TACACAGATACAAACTTTAAATAAAATATTTAAAAATTGAATTTAGTAGTATAGAAAAAAGATGACTCACCATGGCCAAAATGGATTTATTCAAGAACTGCAAGGTTGGTTAATATTCAAATGTCTGTCAGTTCATTTATATATTAACTATATTCACAGAAACTTAAAAGGGAAATACATGATCTTAGATGCAAGAAAAGCATTTGATTAAGTTCTGCATTTATTCATGAGGAAAAACTCCTAGCAAAGCTACAAATAGGAAAGAACATCCTTAGTTTGACAAAAAGCACCTTGAAAAAAAAAACACCCTATAATAAACACCATATTTAATAGTTAATTTGAAAGTATTCTTTCTTAGATTAAAATGACCAAGGAAGCGTACTTTCACGACCTCTATCAACAACATACTGGAGATCCTAGCCAATGAAGTAGGAAAGAAGAGATTATAAAGAATAAAACTCATTGTTCACAGGTGACACAATTGTGTGTATAGGAAATTCCAGTGAGTATTTAGATAAAGTATTGGAATTAATCAGTGAATTTAGCATGGTTGCCGTATGAAAGGTCAAAATGAAAAATCAATTATATTTTAGTACAGCGATGATGAGGAGCTGGAAAAATAAATTTTCAATTATGCCATTTATAATAGCATTTTAAAATTAGAAATTAACATTAAATACTTAGAAATAAACCCACCAAAAATGTGCAAGGCCTCATGCATAGAAATATATAAGGCATTAATAAGAAAAATTAAGCATCTAATAAATGGAAGAATATACCATGCTGCTGAATTGGAAAATTCACTATTGTAAAGATGTCAGTTATCCTCCAGAGTGATTTATGGAGACAATGCAATTTCAGTCAAAATCCAAGCAGGATATTTGTGACAACTGACAAGTTTTTTTAAATACATATATGTATATAAATGCAAAGGACCAGAAATAGCTAAGAATTTTGAACAATATAGACAAAGTGAGAGGATTTACTTTAACAGAAGCCTATACTTATTATAAACTTATGGTCATTAAAATACTGAATTATTAACCAAGAATAGGTATATGTACCAATGGAGTAGAATAGGAAGGCCAGAAAATTACCATGCATTATGTATATGGACACTTGGTTTATTTCAAAGATGGCACTGCAGAGCTGTGAGAAAAAGGTTTTTTTCTAATAAGTAATTTGGGGTCCATTGGATAGCCTTATTAAACAAAAGAAAGAAAAAGAAATTTGACCCTTTCCTTACTCTTTACAAAAATTCATTGCAGGTGGATTGTAGATACAAATGTAACAGCTAAAATAATAGTCTTTAGAAAATAATCCAGAAGAATATCTTCATCCCTGGGGTTACAGTAAGATTTCTTGAGCAGAGTGCAAACATGACTAACCCTAAGGAGGAACTAATAACTTCTGTTCACCAAAAGACACCACTGTGTGTTATAGATATCTCCCCCTTAATGGCTAGGGTGAACAGGCTAGCCATAAAGTGAGAGATATCTATAACACACAATCAGCAGAGGGCTCTTATCTAGAATATATAAATGACCCCTACAAATAAATAAGATAAATACAGACTCAATAGAAAAATGGGCAAGAAACTTAAGCAGTTCACAAAAGAGGTTATCTTACTCACCAGTAAACATAAGAAAAGGTTTTCAACCTCATTAATAATCATGTGTCTTAGTCCTTTCAGGCAGCTATGACAAAATGTCATGGATGTTTATCATAGTGGCTTATCAACAACAGATGTTCATTTCTCACAGTTTTGGAGACCAAGAAGTCCAAGATTAAGGTGCTGGCAAATTTATGTCTGATGAGGGCTTCCTTTCTGGTTCATAGGCAGCAGTCTTTTTGCTGTGTACTCACTTGACATAAGGCATGAGGGAGCTCTCTGGGGTCTTAAAGGGCACTAATTTTATTCACAGGAGCTCCCCACCTCATGACCTAATCACCTCCTAAAGGTCCCACCTGTGAATACTGCCATCTAGGGGGTTAAGATTTAAATATGAACTGGGAGTTAGGGGGATATAAAGACTCAGTCTATAGCATCAGGGAAATGCAAATTAAAGCCACAGGAGACAAAGTTATATGCCATATAATTCCATTTATATTGACCTCAAAAATTGTCCATACTAACCAGTAGTGCTAGAAGTCAGGATAGTGATTTCTTCTGGGGAGGGAAGAGAGGCTGGTGATTAAGAGAGCGCCCATGGAAGGGTTCAGTTTAGTGCTGGAAATAGTCTGGTTTTTGACCTGGTAGTGATCGTAGGAGGGTGTTAAGATAAATCATCATATACGTATGAATTATATACTACTTTTGTGTATTTTGTACCTCAATGTAAGTTTCTAAAGTATAGTTAAAACTTGATTCTTCTCTCGTCTAACTTTTTAATGAAATGTTATTTTAAGTCATTTACAATAATATCATCAGCTTTTATCTGCTGCTAATTACTTAAAACCAGTTGGTGGAACTAGTTTGAAGATGTTTGACCATCCAGTTAGAATATCAATCCCACCTAGGCCCAAACCCTGTGAGTAAAAAAGACAAAGAAGCCAGAATCTTGCCTTTTCACCTGGTTTCAATTGGCAAGAAGAATGAACAACTTGAGGAAGAGGAACCAGAATACTACTTTTTTTTTTTTTTTTTTTAAGAAAGAGTCTCACTCACTCCATTGCCCAGGCTGGAGTGCAGTGGTGCAATCTCAGCTCACTGCATCCTCAGTTCCCCAGGTTCAAGTGACTCTCCTGCCTCGGCCTCCTGAGTAGCTGAGACTACAGGCGCCTGCCACCACACCCAGCTAATCTTTTGTATTTTTAGTAGAGACATGGTTTCACCTTGTTGGCCAGGCTGGTCTCAAACTCCTGATCTCTGGAAATCCACCCACCTTGGCCTCCCAAAGTGCTGGGATTAAAGGCTTGAGCCACTGCGCCCAGCCGCCCCTTTTCAGAGTTAAAAATTGAGAATAAGTGGACCCTATGTAACAGCCTTACATGATCAAATTTAATGTATACGTTTCAGTTTCAAGTTGCAACATTATACTCTCTTGAAGAATACATGACATAAAAACCAGAAGGAAAGCTCAGTCTTCTCTTTCATTTTACTCAATTTATATTGGCTAAGCTGTATCTGTGTCTTTCTCTAGAATGTTCTTTTGTCAACTATGAATAATATTTATTTGCTCCATGTATTCAGGTTCATCAACTTGGCTGCGAAGTTGTTGTCTTGCTACTGGAACTTAATCCTGACCAAATAAATCTTTTTAATTGGGCAATTGACCGATGCTACACAGGTTCCTACCAACTTGCGTCTGGCTGCTTCAAAGCCATAGCAACCGTGTGTGGAAGCAGGTATGAACTTTTATAAGCAGCCAGTGATGAGTGGCAACTATATTTAGGGTTACTTTTTGTGATATGCATGATTGAGACCTGACTGTTTGCAAAGTAAATTCTATGAGAATATAAAATGTTCCCTATATCCCCAGCAGGTAAACTACTCCCTGTAAGGTTGCAGTTCCATTGGTTTTTTTCATTTTATCAGGAAATGATTTGTTGTTATAGTACCTTTCTTTGTAATTGCCTGGAAATTCACAGTGAGGTATTACAACAGGATTTGAAATGACAAAGGAGATACATTACAGGAATTAAGGGAATGTCTAGAAATGTTTATAACAAGGGTGAACTATAGCCCTTCAGCCATCTTTACAAACAATCAAACCTAGGAAGTTGCCTAAAATTTTTAAATTCACTTTATAGAAAACTTCAGAAAGGAAGGAAAGAAAATGTGACACCAAAGGCTCTGTAGATTATAGTTTTAAAACCATTGCCTTTGTTGTGTAAATTAGTCATTCCTTGTAGCCGTTCAGTATGATTTGTGTACTGAAATAAGTTCATAGCTATGATGAGAGGGTTAATAAATGTTCTCCAAGTTGCAAAGCTATTCCCAAGAAAGAGCTTATATATCAGAAAAATTGAGAGAAACCAGCTCATTTATTTTTGAAAATATTCATATAGACTGTCAATTTTCCTTTTTAATTAAATGTTGCACTTTAAATAGCTATCTTGAGCTACCGGATCAAGAGAATAAAAGTGAATTAGTTTTAAATTCCAATCTGTTATTGGTCTAAGTTAATAAGAACAGTATTTTGGAAGATGTCTACTTTTAATAAACCTAAAATGAGCATGCTATTTAGAGAGACAAGTTTCTCCTTAAAATTTTTATCTTTTATAAAGATAGTAGACAACATTTCATATCTAAAGCTTTCATTTTCCATAATCTTAGTAGTAGAGTTTTTATTATAGATTTTAATCTCCATAGAAGTTAGAGCAAATGAATGTAACCAAAACTGTCTGATTTTCCATAAAGTTTTATTTCCTGTTATAAGCATCATTAAAAAATATACTTTAGGACATTACCAAAAGAACATTGTGACAAAAATCTCTTTCTCCAGAATGCTTTTTTTTTAATTTTCAGATATTTCAACATTCTAAAAATAAAGTTTTGTTCACATGACCCTTTGATTTTAAAAATATTTTAGAATCCATGACTTGGACTTCTTTCTTTGACAAGAATAAGTTTCACCTCTTCACTGCCCTTCTCCCAGTGAACCTGGCTTGAACTATCCTAATCAAATTTATTGCATTGCATGGCCATCTCATAAAATATCACACTGCATTTCTCTGAATAAATCTAGGTATTTTTCCTTAGGGAGCACAAATAAATGCTTAATAAATTTAGCAACATAGTCTCAATTTCAATAACATCTCTAGTGACAAAAATATTAGGTCATAAAATCTGCTGTGTTCCAAGTATTTTTTAAGGTATCATTGTACACGACCTGGGTTTCTTAGACAAATATTGCACATCTATTTGGATTCGTGACACTCATCTATTCTGAAGGAAGGGTGGAGGGCAGGGAAACACAGTGGCTTGACCCCAACTGTCCAGATAGTGACCAGCATTTCTGCTATTTCTCAACAAAGGGCATATTCAGAATTTAAAATTTCAGCTGTGGCCTAAATTTGCTCTTTCCCCATAAATTCTCAGCCTGTGTCGTCTAGACAAGCCTCTAGAGAGGCCTCAGCAGTCATTGTGCTTGTCTTTGCAGTACTTTTTTTCAAAAGCAATTGTGATATTTTGAGCTCTTGCTTGATTTGTCTTCTGTAAGTTTGCTTCTAAAAAGCAACTAAAGACCTTATCTTATGAAATATGTTTCTGAAAAGTCCTTTGCAAACTGAATCTTATTTTAAGTTTCTCAAACAAGTTATCTATCCAGTAACTCCTACAAGTCATTTTCTAAAGCAAAGAATCCTTCTTTTAAAATAAATAATTATCTCCTCCTTTTTCAAATAGGCATGATTATATCCTGGATTTATTTGTAGAGGAATATGACAGTTTATAAGCACATTTATTTATTAAGAAACCACTCACAATTGACTTTAAAATACCTAAAAAATTGAATATTTTTAAATGCTCTTGTTGATTTAAATTTTCTATTTTAGTTTTAGAAAAGAGAATTTGCCATTTTTGCATGATCAATGTATCAATGTTGATTAGCTGTGGCAATGGGGAAAAATGGTTCTCTACGTCCTTGTTTTTGGTTACTTTTCCAGCAGTAAAGGACTGTGTGTGAGTGTGAATGAGTGAGTGTGTGCGTGTGCATGCTGTGAACTTACTGTTCTCCAGTCAACACTCTATAGCCATGCCATGCTGTGACTCTGGTGACATTAGGAGATAGAATGTCAGAATAGAACTTGAATAGGACCAGAGGAAATGAGGATAAAGATAGAAAGTGATGGTAGAACTGGCAGTATTAATTTTGCAAAATTTTTCATAAAATATGTTAATCTATTTGATTAAAAGCTATTAAAAACAGCTCAGTACTACAATTTAGTACAAAAAATTGCTTATTTGTCAGGCAGCATTAGTTCAAATAACTATTTGGCTTCTGTATATGTCCTTGTTAATTTTCCCCTCACTCCAAACGAGATTAGAATAAGATAGATAAGGAAATTGGGAAAGAAACTAAATGACTTTCCAAGGTTATAAATCAAGATAAATTGTGTATTAAGAGTGTAGGCCGTTTCTAATCATTAGCTTAATGCACCAGAATTCTCTTCACATTTTAATTAAAAACATAAAAATTTCATTATTTTTACTTTTACCCTGCAGCACACTCTTAAAACATGTTAAATAGATGTTTTAGAATTGTATGTGAGAACAAAGTACAAAGTATTGATTTTTAAAGAATTTTGTTGGATTTATTTTCGGTGGTGGTTTTCGTTGGCATTGTTTGTATGTTTGTTTTTCTTTAAGTTAACTTTCTATAAATCTTTCCTAATTTAAGTCAGGCCTAGCAAATTTGAATTCCTAAAAGTAAATGCCCATTTCTTCAGGTAATAACATCCATCTGTCAACAAGGAAGACGGACAAAGTTTATGATTCATAAATCCCAATCCCACTACCTAACTGATGATAAATAGCCTTATTTGGTTGTGTCAGCCACCTGGAGTATTTCAGGAGAGCAGAGTTGGGAAGCTGGGCTCCGGAAACATACCATCTTGGGTTCAATCCTACTCCACCTCTAACCAAGCTCTGTGTTCTTGAACAAGCTACTACAGATGCCTACCCACCAGTAAAATAGGGTTAATGGCAGGGTTAGAGTAATGATTAAACGAAAACAAACTCTTGGTCTAAGGCCTGACACGTGGTAAATACCCCATAAACACTGTTATTCAATAGTTGTTGGAGGAGAACAGCTGTGAAGTAATCCCCTCAATTAACTAGTGAAATCTTTCTCTTCAGAATACCTCAGAGCCATCCTGACCTTTGTCACTTAGTACTAGGTAAGCCAGAGCTAGCGGGCATTTCCCAAATTCTTCAACATCTCCTCTCTTCCAGATAGTTTTATTTCTTGTTTCCTTTTTGAGTCATATCTACCTCCCATATTTATTTTATCATTTGACTTTTATTTGGTATGATCACAGCTGTCTTTGTTTATCTTTTACCCTTCCTCTGCCTATGCTGAATAATTAAATACTGAAAGGTATAAGATTCCATTTCTCAGCCTGTTTTCAACATCTAAGTACAGACATTTTATTTGTACTCTTTTGCTTATTTGAAATTTTCTCATTGTTTCTTCCTCTTGGTTTCTTTCATTTTCTGAATCTGTTATTCTTTCAATGTTATTGCTCATGAATTTTATTCATAACATTCAACAAAAAAGTAAATGCTCTAATTACAAGGTCAAGTGCATGGCCTTGCCTAGTAAGAGAGAGGCTGAGGCTTTATCTGTCCCTTTCCTGCCTTTAAATTCCCAGCAATCCAGCAATATATTTGGCATATATATAAATGTATTAAATTCCAGTATCAGAAGACAGAGATGTAGGAAAGCATCTCTGCTACCGTAAGACTCAGAAGGGAGTTTCCTTTCTACTTTTATAGGTAGAAAGGTCTGTTCCAAGATACAGCAGTTTGTAACAAGTCCAGATTACACTGGCTATGAAATGCACTATTGTGGGTTGTCTAGGAGACGCGAGGCATTGTGGATAAGAGCTTGAATTGTTTGAAGTCAGACTTACCTAGGAGTCTGGCCTCCACCACTTCTACATGACCTGAAGCAACTACTTTTCTCTAGGCCTTGAATGCTTGTTGTGAAGATTAAATAACAATTCTAAATAAAGGTCTTGGCACAGTACCCGGCACAAAGTAAGCACATGATAACATCATTGTCACACATTTTTCAATATTATTCTTAACACTCATCATCATCCTCACCGTCATCTGGGGGTAGTTCCCCAGTTTTTCCCATCAGACCCACCAAACTTACACTGTATTCAGTTAAAAATACAAGTTACAGAAAAGTAATCATTTTGGAGTGAAAATTAATAAACCTGTTTTGGAGGGGAATATAGCAGTATCTGCCAAAATTCTTAATGTGCCCTTTGACTCTGCATGACCTCTCTATGAATTTTTTTCTAGAGAAAGGCCAGCACATTTGGTGTTTGTAGCACACAATGAAAAATTGAAAACAGTCTAAATGTCTATCAATGCATGTCAAAAGTTGGATTCCCCAGGAAATAGACTGAGATGGATATTTGAACGCAGGACATTTATTAGGGTGTGCCCTTGGGGTCAGCATCTATGGGGAAATGAAAGAATTAGGACTGAGAAGAGAAAAGAAACCTCAGTCATTCCCACTGGGGCTGCTGCTGGGGAACAGCTATGACCTTGACCTAAGCAAACCTCTTTGGCTGAAGGCAGTTCCCAGAGAAGGCTTCAGATCAAGGATTCAGCTGCTATCAGTTTAGCTGGAGGATTGAGTGCCTCGTCCTGAAAGAAGGATCTAGGTGACACACCACAGTACTCATTACAAGAGTAGTTGTTTATGATATGTTCCTAAAGTGAGCCTTTATAGTTAGTTAAGACTGAAGTGAGCGTTGTAGTTCAGGAAAAAGCAGATCATCAAACAGTACAGACAGGTAGTATAATCACATTTATGTTTAAAACCCTTTGCATTGAAGGAGAGGTATTTTGATGCAAATGTTCACATGTAGACTTAGAAAACAGCTGAAATGTCAAAATGTTGACAATAATTGCCTCTGGGATTAAGAATAACAGTTGGGAGAATGAAAGGACATGAGATACTTCGTATTTTATTTTATTCACCTACCTACAAGCAACACCAACTTGCAGCCTTGTGAGGGAACCATCTTTAGGTTGGACCCTCTAGCCTTATGTGTTGCTTGAATCTTTTAGAAGAAAAATATATTCATGTATTATTATGTCATAAAAATTAATATTTGAGTAATGTTAAAAGAAGAAAAACGTTTTCATGTGTTTAACCAATTCTTACTATAATTTCTCACTGAACTTAATGTAAAATGGGATATATTTATAGTAGGACATGCCTTTCTGAAAGGGTGATTCTCATTCTGTTTTCTGTTGCTTATAACAGAATACCTGGAACTGGATAATTTGTAGAGAAAGCAATTTATTTCTTACAGTTATAGAGGCTAAGTCCACAGTCAAGGGGCCTCATCTGGTGAGGGCCTTCTTGCTGATGGAGAAGTCCTGATGGGCCTTCAGGACTCTTTGCAGAGTCCTGAGATGGCACAGGGCTTCACATGGCAGGAGAGTTGAGCATGCTAGCTTCTTTTCCTCCTCTTATAAAGCCACTGGCCCTGCTTCCATGATGTCTGTCAGTCCATTAATCCATGAACAGATTAATCCATTCATGAGGGCAGCCTCATGACCCAGTCACCACTTAAAGTCCCCACTTCTCAATACTGCCACATTGGGGATTAAATTTCAACATGAATTTTGGTGGGACAAACATTCAAACCAAAGCCGTGATTGTTCTAAAACAACTTCTTAGACAGTGTAATTATGTAGAATCAAAAAAATGAATCCCAAGGAAAAACAGCTAATATGTTTTTCATCTTCAAACTATCTTTTTCTTCCTGGTTTGTTTGAAAATAAATAGTAGTTACCCACCTTCTACATATAAACTGTTCAATAGTTCAACTCAACGAGGTGCAGTTGTTCACACCTGTAATCCCAACACTTTGGGAGGCCAAGTTGGGAGGATCAGGAGGTGAAGACAGCAGTGAGCCATGATCAAGCCACTACACTCCAGCCTGGGTGACAGTGAGACCTTATCTCAAAAAAAGAAAAGAAAACAAAAAGTTCAACTCACCAGGAGTTTTCTGCTTGTGACTTCTTTTCCACTATAATCTAAGAAAATGCATATAGTAAAAAGATGACATCTTTAAATAGTATTACATAGCAGGAAAAAAATGGACTTAATCCCTCTATTCTATGTGGTTATACTGCCAATTGCTGCATAATCTATTCTCTGTGTTCCTCTCCCCCCATCCCACACACACTGTCAGTTACCAAATCCTGCTGATTTTATTTCCTTATTATTTCTCAGATCCCTCCCTCCCTTCTGTCTCTACTGCCTGAGTTCAAGCCCTCATCAGTTCCCATTTGGATTCTTGTAACAGCTTCCACTCTTGGCTCCGTACAATCCATTCTCCACACAGCAGCTAGCGTGATTCTTCAAAAAGTGAATGCCATTGCCTCCCTCCCCGTGGCAAGTCCTGTAGTGCTTCTCTGAAACTTTTAGGGTGAAGTCCATAGAATGGTTATCTTCTGAACCCACCGACTGCCCTAGCCTCACCTCCTATTCCTCTACTTGTTTATCGTATTCAATCTACTACACAAAGATTCTTCCCTTTTACAATAGGTATCATGCTGTTTCATTCTTGAAATCTTTCAAAATGCTGTTCTCTGTCTGGAACACTCCTGTACTACCCTTTCCGTGACCTGGCTAATATCTCCTGATGCTTCAAGACTCATTTTACTCATTTTCTCTTGAGAAAAGACCTCCCTAAGCCCACACCTAATGTAGGTGTCCCTCATCAGGATTCTTGTAGCATGCTGTAGATGCTCCCTCCATAACACTCATCAGAACTAGACTGTACAGGTTGTCTCTGTGACGAAACTATAAGCCCTCCTTAAGAATAGAGACCAGCCTTGCTATCTTCGTATCATCGGTACTTTGCACGCTGTTCCTGATAACTGTTTGGCACTTAATAAATTTAGATAAATCAAATGAAAATATTAATTCAGTGAGCTATTGAGAAACTTAGTACATGTATCCTTTTCTGTCTTTTTCACTTGTCATTGGTTTTCATTAAAATCCATTTACATCACATGGACTTTTGTGTTCTTTTATCTCGATGTCCCAGTATTTGATTTTAAACCAAAATAAAGTCATTTACCATTATCTACCAATTAATAGCAAAAGAAGGAGGCAAAAAATGGCCAAATGGGGGTGGGGATGTCATCAATAAGTGACCGTGGTCAGCATGCCAGCTAGAATTTTAAGAGGTAATAAACTAGCTATGCTGTCTTATAAACCATGCTGTTTTGTTTCATTTTGTTGTGTTTTTAGGAACTATCCCTTCGACATAGTGACATTGTTGAACCTTGTTCTATTCAAGGCCTCTGACACCAACAGAGAGATTTATGAAATCTCCATGCAGCTCATGCAGGCACGTATCATTTACTGGCATAAGAAACTATCTGTCCTCGAGTGTACAAAATAGAAACGGTATTTGATTACCTAATTGCCGTTTATTGATAGGCCTTTGTTTATTTCTGCATATCGTTTGTGGCTATGAAGAGTGAGAAAGCAATTATATAATCTTTTCTAAATATACTAATTAAATTATATAATCTTTTGTAAATATACTAATTTAATATGGTTTTAAAATAGGCATTAATTAGTTTTGTTACTTCTAAACTTTGTTAAATACAAATGCTCCTGAGATATCCAGCTAATGTTTTTCATACTACTTTTCACTTTCCTACCTCTTTATAGATCCTTGAAGCAAAGCTTTTTGTATACTCAAAGAAAGTTGCTGAACAAAGACCAGGAAGTATTCTCTATGGAACTCACGGCCCACTGCCACCCCTCTACAGTGTGTCACTTGCCCTCTTGTCATGCGAGCTGGCCAGGATGTACCCTGAACTTACACTCCCCCTCTTCTCAGGTACCAGGCAATAGTCAACAATGACATATGTGATCATTTCTTTGCTCTAAGTAATTTTTCCTTTTAAATTCTAGTTTGAGTTATGGCTGCGCACAATGCCACTCATGCCTATAATCCCAGCATTTTGGGAGGCCAAGGCTCCTTGAGGTCAGGAGTTCGAGACCAGCCTGGCCAACATGGTGAAACCCCATCTCTACTAAAAATACAAAAATTAGCCAGGCGTGTGGTGTGTGCCTGTAATCCCAGCAACGTGGGAGGCTGAGTCAAGACAATCACTTGAACCTGGGAGGCAGAGGTTGCAGTGAGATGAGATTGCACCACTGCATACCAGCCTGGACAACAGAGTGAGACTCTGTCTCAAAAAGAAAATTTAGAGTGATAATTAATGATAGTAAGTTTGTAGATCACAGTTACTATGGGCTAGATCCAGTTACAAATGAAAGTAAATTCAATAAGTTTTTTAAATATAAAAAATAAAGTTCTTTATCTAAAATAGTGTAGGTATAAATATACATATAACAAATACAAAGATGCTTAGATTCATAATACGAACTTCTACATACATTATATATATGTTTCCCAAAGAAATAAAATTCCCACAAAAGCTAAATATGAACAGTATAACTTATAATACATGTAGTTGCTGCAAGTTGTTTGATGATGTGGTGATAGTGGTGGTGTTTTGTAGCTTGTATTTTGCTACATATATAAGTTATTGAAAGTTTGAATTTTTGCACATTCTTTACAATCTTCATAAATAGTTTTTGTGAAAATTTGTTTTTAAAGAATTGCATTTGTCAACTAACTTCTTGCTTAAGTTCCTGTGGCACTTTGCAAAGAGATAGACTTTGGTCTCTTGAATTCGTCCTCTTTTTCCATCTCTATCAGTACCTCACCACGACTTGTCCATATCCGCCTCAGTCCTTCCCTGCCTCTGCATACCTGACTACAGTTCATCCTCCATGCTGCAATCTATCCACTATGCAAAGCCAAATATGTACAGCACTTAACTCCATAGTGCTTCAGTCCATCCACTGTGCAAAGCCATATATGTACAGCACTTCTTAACTCAACCTTCTCTGCTCAATTACCCTAAAAATAACTGATAACAGCCTACAGTTAGTGAGAGGATAGTAGGTACTAGGCTCTGTGCTAGGCACTTTATGTACATTGCATTCATCACTTAATCTTTACAACCCCTGGTATAGTATAGTGATTAGAACAGAGGCTTTGGAGTCGGGCAGGCTTTCTCTAGTTGTTTGACTGTGGGCAAATCATAGAACCTCTAAATTACATTCCTCATCTGCAATAATAACGACTACCTCATAGGATGTGAGGATTAAAATGATCTAATGAAAACCAAGCAGTTGGCCCAGTCCTGGCATGGAATTATCACAACTGCCAGCACCACCAGCATCACTATTTTACAGATGAAAAACTAAGGTTTAGAGATGTTAAATAATTTGCTTAACACTATATAGCTAAGGAAGCAATGAAGCCAGAATTAAGTCTAGATCTGTCTTCCTCCAAAGCCATTGCTATAAAATTAGAACTCCTTAGCCAAGAAAAAAAAAAACCCTCCTTTTTTGAACTTACTTTCTATCTTTTCATCCAAGAATCCTCTCTTCCAATCCTACTGAATCTTTGACCAATGATCCAGGACCTCTTGTAAATCTTTGCTTCTGTACATGCTGTTGAATGGCCCTCACCCCTTCTTCCTAACTTCAACTTTCCTTAAGATCTAATTTAATATCCTCCTCTACTGTGCACACCTCTCCATCTACCTGAGGCAGAGTTAGTCACTTCTTTTTGTAATACCTGAAACAGTGGAAAGACCTATGAAAAGCCTTTTTAGTAAATTAATTCTCTTCTTGCAAAACTAAAATTTATTATCCACTTCAACCAAGATTTGAGTGCTGCCTACATGCTAGGCACTGTGCTTGGGTTTCAGGAATACAGAGGGAAATAAAAGTCTCTTCCATCAAAAGTTCATAGTCTGGCAGTAACGATAGATGTTCAATCAAGCCAGGCATGGTTGCCGATGCCTGCACTTTGGGAGGTAATCCCAGCACTTTGGGAGGCTGAGGCAGATGGACCACTTGAGGCCAGGAGTTTGAGACCAGTCTGGCCAACATGGCAAAACCCTGTCTCTACTAAAAATACAAAAATGGTGGTGCACGCCTGTAGTCATAGCTACTCAGGAGGCTGAGGCACGAGAATTGCTTGAACCCAAGAGGCGGAAGTTATAGTGAGCTGAGATGGTGCCACTGCACTCCAGCCTGGGCAACAGAGCAAGATTCTGTCTCAAAAGAAAAAAAAATGCAGGTTTTTAAAAAAGGAAAATGCTCAATGTATCAGACATGGCTGAAGGAGTAATCAATTATTGGGCCAGGAATATCAGGAAAGACTTCCCAGAGAAGTTGATGTCTAAGCTGTACTTTGAAAGAAGAGTAGAAATTTGCAGAGCAGACAAGTAGTTAACAGACGTTACAGACCAAGAGACTATCGCATATACATTGGCTTAGAGTTATAAACTAGCATGATGTAATTGGGGGATTATATAGAGGTCAGTTTAGGTAACATAACATGCAGGAATGGGAAAAGCTAGAGATGGTCGTGGACAGACACAGAGTCCAAAATCATATCTTGGAAGGCCTTGTGTACCCTAAGGGGTTTGTAGGCCAGCAATCTTCCACCCATGCTTTTTGAATCCCCCTTCAGAGCTCCGTAAACAGAGAGATCATCCAGGCAAGTGGCTGGGGTTTTGAAAGCCACTGATGAGTTGCAAACAAGAAGAGGAAATATCAAGATCAGAATGCATTTTAGAAAGCCTGGTTGCAGTATGGAGGCTGGATTAGTGAACATCCAATCTAGAGAGAGGAGGCTAGTTAAGAAACAATGGCAATAGTCCAAGTAGGAAATAATAAATGATAAGGGCCTGAACAAAGACAGCCCAATGAGACTGGAGAGGAGAAACCAAAGTGAAAAGTTGCCAGGCAAATGCACAGAAGAGAATGCTACCGTGATATCAGGGAGGTCAGTGGTGATAACCCTCCTAGAAACCCAGTACAGGGAGAGAATGTTTGGGGCAAGGCAGGGACCAGGAGCTCAGCTCAGGATGTGGAATGCAGGCGTCTGCGGGACTTCCTCCCATGTGGATGAGACTGGACTGAGGGGAGGTCAGCACTAGCAATTCACAGGAGGATGGCAGGGATTAGAGCCGTGGGCACCGATGAGATCAGGAATGGAGAGAGCAGAGTGGAAAAAAGGGCCTGGACACTTCTGCAGACCGGTCCAAGGAAGAGCAGAAGGGTGAGAAGGATTGCAGGGAGAAGGGTTTCATGGAAACGTAGAGGAAAAAGAGTTTTAGAAGGATAGAGTGAGCAGTCCACAGCCTCCAATGCAGTAGAAAGATCCCAGAAGAGAAAGCCTGAAAATGACTCTGAGTTTCGAAATTCATTGGCAGCTGTCAGTAGTTTCTGCAGGGAGGTAGCGGCAGAAGCCAGATCGCAGTGGCCTGGCTGAGAAAGAATGTAGAAAGAGACGCTGGCTCTCCAGTGGGGTGCAGAGTCAGAGGAGGAGTTTTAAGGATGAGCGATAATTGGAGCATGTTTATTGGCTGAGAGGTCGACACTAGGAAAGTGGGAGTGGTTCACAATTCAGGAGAGAAACAGTCCAGCACGTTTAACGAGATCAGAGGCTCCTATGAGTTTCAAGCAGGTTCAACCTACATTTCTTTCAAGAATTACCTTTTGGCTGTTTTGACTTATGGTAAATTACTTTTTTAAAGTAACACAGAAAAATTAGGAGGTTATAATAGATTCCAAACACTTGTTTCTAATATAAACCCCGTGGTGAAATTTTTATTGCCTATAATTTCAAGTGACCTAATTACTTTTAAGCAGCCAGACAAGTTGTTCAGGTCCCTCCCAAAAGAGCATCCACTGACATCTCACATTTTATTTAAAGCGTTTCCGGAGCGGTGAGTAAGGGGCTGTTGACATGTCTATGGCATTTTTCTTTTCTTGTTCCCTCTTAAAAAGGGAACTACCCTTGCCTGTCCAGGAGCTACCTGGGAGCCTGGGATACCTCAGACTGACATCTCTACTCTCTGGGTACTAATGTCTGTCAGACAAAATGCAGTTAACATAATAAGCAAATTACGTAACACGTGAGAAGGTTATCTTTGCTACAAAAAGTCTGTAGATTTTTATACCATTGTTAAAAGATAGGTCTTTTTAATAACTGCTCTCTCTCTCTCTCTCTTACTGGTTTTTGGGTTTTTTTTCCCCCTCTCCAAAGTCCAGATCCTTCTAGTGGAGTTTAAATAGTTCTCCCACCATAAAACTATTCTAAGTCTTTGCACGCAGAAGTCATTTTTCTCCACCAAATCCCCACAACACTCTGTTTGTGCCTTTCTGGTGTCATTTGTCACTGCTTCCCTTACCCCAGAATGACTTGTCAACATAATTTGTCTGAGTCTCTCTCTTTCTTAGGGACAGGAACTGCATCATTTGTCAGTCTTTGCTGTCTTTGTCATGCCTAGCATAGTGTCTTGCACCTAGAAAACACCTCATACTTTGGGACAAATGAATGTTCTGATTTTTTTTTTTTTTTTTGAGTTGAAGTCTCACTTTGTCTCACTGCAACCTCCACCTCCCAGCTTCAATTTGTGTCTCACTGCAACCTCTGCCTCCCAGGTTCAAGCGATCATCCTGCATCAGCCCCCCTAGTAGCTGGGATTACAGGCACGGGCCATCATGCCCAGCTAATTTTTGCATTTTTAGTAGAGACAGGGTTTCACTGTGTTGAACAGACTGGTCTCGAACTCCTGACCTCAGGTGATCCATCCGCCTTGGCGTCCCAAAGTGCTGGGATTACAGAATGTTCTGATTTTATAAGGATTTGAGTATGTGATATTATAACAGTTGCATACATCAGTCACATCCATAAATGTAGAAATTAAGTATATTTTGAAATTTTGACATATATAATAAAACACAATAGCTTAGCACTGTGTGATTATTATATACAACATTATGGTCTTCAATATAAAAAAATTATGATTTTAATTTTAGGAAAAGGGCCAAATCAATTAAAGCTGCTGTTTCAGAGGATCCAGTGAATTATCTTGGTATAATTCCTGGCATCTGTGTTGTTCTATTATTTAACAGCCATGAGCCCTCTAAGTGAGATTGCATCGCCACACTGTATCATAACACCTGCATGAGACCAAGCTTTCTAATTTCCCTGAGGATAAGACACCTTCTCTAGATATGAGAAATAGGAGATTACATCGGAGCCTACTGCATATACATAAAGCTATGCTTCTCTATCTAAGAAAGTTTATTTGGATTATAAAATGAAATGCTGCTGGCAGTGAAACAATGCCAGAGTGCTCTGAGAGAAAGTAATGGTGAAATGTGACTGGACCAGACGTAGGGCTTCACTGTTGGACTCACTTGTCTCACAAGGGACACACAGCTCTTGGCAGGCACCTTCCACGTGCTTAGCAGTTTTCAAGAAGACTCTGCAAACTAGATTTATTCTTCTTAGAGATCCACGTCACTTCTTAACAGCCAATGATTCATGGAAGACTCTTTGTAAAACACTGGGTTAGTGGAAAGATAATCATTGGTGTTAGAATGATCCTAACCACAATTTGTGAGAGCCTGCTGGATGATAGGTGCCGTGCTGAGCACGTTGAATTTATTATGATTATATCTTTTAGTCATTTCAGTAGCCTGATGTGGGGCCTTAATCAGGCCCATTTTAACAGATGAGGAAACTGAGGAGCAGAGAGGTTAAGTAACTAGCCCAGAGTCACATGCAGCCAGTATGTGGTAGAACTGGAATCTGAACACATGCCCTTCTGACTCTGAGTCCCTGATTTTGTCCACACTCTGATAGACATCTTCCGCTAGCAGTGGATTTGCACTCACTCTGCTTATACCAAGCCTGTGCTTGCCCTGCAGTGCTATATATTCACCTCCACAGGGCACCAGATGTGGAGCAACAAGCTTGCAGACAAGCCTTGGTTTTAGGATTCTGTAGCCTGGGGGAGCTACTGTATATGAAAATGCTTTATAAATGTAGGACACTGTTCAGCCTGCAAGTTGGCATTTGAATTTTCATTTATTTTGGCGGAATAAGATATGGATGGCTCTCTGTCCCTGCAATTCTCTTTAGAGGTAAGCCAGCGATTCCCCACGACACACCCCAATGGGCGCCAGATCATGCTCACCTACCTGCTGCCCTGGCTGCACAACATCGAGCTGGTGGACAGCAGGCTCCTCCTCCCAGGATCCAGCCCCAGCAGCCCAGAGGACGAAGTAAAGGACCGGGAGGGCGATGCGACTGCTTCTCACGGGCTGAGAGGAAATGGCTGGGGCTCTCCAGAAGCCACGTCACTGGTCCTGAACAACCTCATGTACATGACGGCCAAGGTAAACTGAGGGGAAATGTGCTTCAAGTAGCATGACTCCATCAGCAGAAAAAACCCTGGGTTAATCAAACCCCATGCTTCAAACCCAGGGAAAATGAGATTCCTTTAAAATCACATGAATGGGGATAAATCGTGGTGATGGTTGCATGGTAATATGAATGGACTTAATGCCACAGGCTGTCCACTTAAAAATGATGATGATGGGCCACACGTGGTGGCTCACGCCTATAATCCCAGCACTTTGGGAGGTCGAGGCGGGTGGATCACAAGGTCAGGTGATTAAGACCATCCTGGCCAACATGGTGAGACTCCATCTCTTCTACTAAAAATACAAAATGTGGTGGCACATGCCTGTAATCCCAGCTGCTCGGGAGACTAAGGCAGGAGAATCACTTGAACCAGGGAGTCGGAAGTTGCAGTGAGCTGAGGTTGCACCACTGCACTCCAGGCTGGTGACAGAGTAGAACTCCATCTGAAAAAAAAAAAAAAACTGGTGATGATGGTAAACATTCTGTTATGCATATTTTACAGCAATTTTAAGAATAATAAAAAAAATAAGCCTAACATATTAAAAACTCACCTAACATATTAAAAACATAGGTATTGTGCATGACTGATTAGTGCACTATTAATTACTGTTCACTGAAAGATGGCATCTTTCTGATAAATAGTCCTGTTTCCCCCTTCTTGTGATTTTGAGATGGTCATGATCCTCAAAACTATTTTCAGTCAAACATTTTACCTCCTTACAGTTTTCACACATCTCTTGGGCCGGTTTTTATTTTGTTGTAGTATGGAGATGAAGTTCCTGGGCCAGAAATGGAAAATGCTTGGAATGCTTTGGCCAACAATGAGAAATGGAGCAACAACCTGAGGATCACCTTGCAGTTCCTGATTAGCCTCTGTGGGGTCAGCAGTGACACAGTTCTTCTGCCCTATGTAAGTGTCTCTCAGACCTTCAAGAGTGATTATTCCTGCAGGGACTCCCATGTGCAATTTGCAAGTCAGAATGTGCTCTTTGCCCCAGCTAAAATAGAAATGTCCAGTTTGTCACATGAATCTCCTGTGAGCCATCCCGGCATTACATAAAAGTTCCTTCTGCCCCTAGACACGGGTTATGTGTGCGAGTAATGCCTCTATCATCTCCTTGCTCTGAGCCTTGAGACACAGAAACCTATTAATATAGGGGGTGGATATTTTTCTGGCAGTTACTGAAAGCTGCCTTCTATAAATATTAGACCTACTCTGTGAGAGACAGAGTAAAATGTTGTATTATCACTAATAAAATATTTCATGTTTATATCTTGATGCTCTTGAAACAGAATAAAAAAGCAGAGTATCCAGGTTTTTCTCTTTAAATTAAATGGTAGAAGAGAGAAGTAAGTACAGAGAAGTCCTTCTGAAATGTCTGATATTTACTCTTGGCATTTAAAAGTGATAGGATCAACAGAATGGACAGCATTTTTAAAACCCAAACTCAATTGGCTTTTCTGTGCTAGTTGTTTTTGTGACAGGTTTATGCCTTCCTGCTGCTTTGAGTCACATAAGCCTCACTGCGGCTTGCAGGGCTTCGGTTGGCCCATGAGGCCTGTGATAATGTGGAGCTTTAATCCAGAGTTATTTTTAAAATCTAAAACCATAAAAACAGCTAAAACTCATTTGTTTCTTGGGGAGAAGAGAATAGCAGGGGACTGGATTCTGTTTTAAACAAAAACAGCTAGCAGTTTTTTTCCCAGGGCTTGTATAAATAAAATTATTTCTGAAGATGAGACTTGGATGGCAAGTTTTCAGTTTCAGTAGAATTCACTTGCCCCAAAAGTGACTTTTTAAAACTTAGCCATTAGAAAAGGCAAGGGCTTTAAGAACACACTGCTGTCAGACGTGCAGGTGAAGAGAGATGAATTTTAATCCAAGCCCTTAGTTCATCCTAGGATAGCACAAAGATTAGCTATCAGGGTGACAGCTCCTGCATGATGACACGTTTATCTAAATGAGAGGCTTAATGGTCTGGCGTTCTTATGGACTAGGTCTGTGAAACATCCCTTGTTTTCTTTTTTTCTCCTCAGATTAAAAAAGTGGCAATATACTTGTGCCGTAACAACACCATCCAAACCATGGAAGAGCTTCTCTTCGAGCTGCAGCAGACAGACCCCGTGAACCCCATCGTCCAGCACTGCGACAACCCGCCCTTCTACCGCTTCACGGCCAGCAGCAAGGCCTCCGCAGCAGCCTCGGGTCAGAAGAGCAGCTGGGCAGACGCCTGGTCACAGATCCCTGGGGTTTCCTTTATGTAGATCCAGAAAGGATATGAGAATGTATTTATTACTTTTTTCTTACTCCTGCTTGTGCATTCAATTATGAGATGGCTTAAGAATAACTGAGACATGGGCTGGGCACAGTGGCTCACGCCTGTGATCCCAGCACTTTGGGAGGCCGAGGTGGATGGATCACTTGAGGTTAGGAGTTCAAGACCAGCCTGGCCAACATGGCGAAACCCCATCTCTACTAAAAATACAAAAAATTCAGCGGGCATGGTGGTGTGCGCCTGTACTCCCAGCTCCTCCCAGGAGGCTGCAGCAGGGGAATCGCGTGAACCCAGGAGACAGAAGTTTTAGTGAGCTGATAATTGTGTCACTGCACTCCAGCTTGGGTTACTCTGTCTCAAAAAAAAAAAAAAAATCGAATAACCGAGGCTCTTAGGGACTGTAGGGTTAATGAAATGATCTTGTAAAGATGACTGAGAATCTGTGTTCCAAGCATCTTCCATCATAGAACTTTGCATTTCAGCCGATCCCAGCCAGGACACTGCAGTCACTCAGGAATTTCATTTCTGCACACTCCTATTGTATCTGGACGCTCTCTTGGCTAATATTCCCCCAGTGTTGACTAAGATACCCTCCCAAAAGTATTATCACTTTTGATAAATTGGTGTCTCAGCATCCTTTGATGAAATATATGCCGTCCTCCTCAAATTCCTTAAAGCCTGCCTCCCTTCTGCTGACCTCATGCAGTAACTGCCTTCTAATTCCCGCCTCCCCTAGTCTTCTGTGCTCTCCGTTCACCCTGCACCCTGCCACCAGAGCAGGGTTCTTACAGGGAAGCAGTACCACAGCAATCAGAAGCGCTAGGTACTTGGCCTTACTTCGCTAGCATTAGTTTAATAACTCCTAGACCCAGAAATACTAAAGCAGCCAACAGCAGGACCAGCCAACATAAATAAGCTCATTACCTAAGTGGCCACGAAGAAGGGCTCTCAAGAATGTAGCCTCGCTTTACGAGAGTTAAGGAATTTGGTTTGACCATAGCAGATGTCTATGATTCATTTCAGTGATGTGGTCTTGGAAAGTTGTTTAGAATGTCTGAGATTGTGCAGGAGATGTAAGAAATCTTCCAAACATAAGATTTTACAGGAAATCTTTCCCTGGAATTTCTTGAGACTTGAGCTTGACCCCTCAGCTTGCATCTTTTTCTAAGTGTTTTTCTTCCAATCCCATCTATAGGAACCACCTCTAGCAGCAACACAGTGGTTGCTGGCCAGGACAATTTCCCAGATGCAGAAGAGAACAAGATATTGAAAGAATCTGATGAAAGGTTGGTGTACAAATTTGACTTAATATCCGGTATAGTGTTCCGCAGTAATCGATACAAAGACATCAATACAGGTTTGTGGAGTTTCATAAATTTTGCACATACATAAAAATCCTTCTTTGTTCTTATAAACCCAGACCTACTTCCCAACTCTACTCTGTATATTCCTAAAAATAAGAATTGTTTCCGTGCAAAGTCAGAGATGAGAAAGATTAAGAAGCGTGTTGTTCTGGTGGTGGAATTCCTCTTACCCCAGGGCTTAGTAAAAACCATGAGTTGTTCTCCTAGTGGGACCAGACCATCTGGAATTAAAGAGAATTGCCATGTGAAATTTTCAAATCTGATTGTTGAATAATTTCTTAGAGATAGAGTAATCATCTTGAGGTGAGTTATATGAAACATCATCATTTTTATTTTACTTTTGCTTTGTCCTGTCTTGGTTAACCAAGAACACCATCTTTTCCTGCCGAACAAAGTATCCATTCCCTCCACATTAGCTCTTTAATAATAATATTTCCCCCATATTTCAGCCTTCTTATTGCCTTGCCTATGAACTACTCATCAGTAGTCAAATCAGAATCACTCTTTCCTGCAGTTGATTGTGAAGAACAGGGAAACCAACCAGGAGAGAAAAAACTCAAATTTTAAAAAATGAAAATTAGGATGATCCTGATGGTATTGGAAAATTCCTTGGCTGAGCATTTTATAGTGAAAGGTAATGAGGGAGCCCTTTTACTGAAGAAACTAGTAACAAGGATGAGATCCTCACTAATTCATATTAAAGATAATTTAGGGCTGAGCACAGTGACTAACGCCTGTAATCCCAGCACTTTGGGAGGCCGAGACAGGCAAATCACAAGATCAAGAGATCGAGACCATCCTGGCCAACATGGTGAAACCCTGTCTCTACGAAAAAAAAAAAAAAAAAAAAAAAAAAAAAATAGCCTGGCATGGTGTTGCATTCCTGTAGTCTTAGCTACTTGGGAAGCTGAGGCAAGAGAATTGCTTAAAACCGGAAAATGCAAGTTGCAGTGAGCCAGGATCACGCCACTGCACTCCAGCCTGGCGATAAAGCAAGACTCCATCTCAAAAAACAAAAAAAGATAATTTAGGGGATCAAATAATGAAATAACTCAGCCCAGAATGCCCTGGGGAGCCCATAGTGCTTCCCAAGCATCCTGAGGATTTCACTGTGTGCACTGGGACACAGCAGGGGCTGACGTGGAAAAGACCCGACACAGGGCTGCTGCCACCAGGGCTCTGAAGGCTCCTTCCCTAATTCAGGCAGCTGCCAGATTCCTCACTGCGTCACTGAGCGGCTGTGTTACCTTTAGGCCGATGCTCATCCATACTGGCTCCCCTTCGGACAAAAAGCTCAAACCCAGCAGATCATGAATTATAGACCTTGTCCTTTGTAGTTCTCTAATAAAGGCCTTTATTTCTTTCTCCAGAATGAATAAAGGTTTTTATACTCCACATATCAGTGAAGGTACAAGATTATTAATTGGCATGTTATTTTTAAGTCTGTATTTGCTATTAATATTACCTTCTTCAGAAAACTACCTTATGATAAAAATCACATTGTTTCTCTAAAGATATTTTTACTTCCTCATTGGAATGTAACAGTCTTGATCATTTATTGTTTCATCTGAGTTTCTCAACTGATTATTATTTGAGGTAGAAACATGGTAGATCCCCATATATTAACATCTCATTACGAAGGCCTCTCTTTAGGGCCAGAGTTGGAGTTTCCTGCCTAAAGTTTTTAGTGGTGGCTTTGAACTTAAGAAGCCAGTAATCCCTCTAATATCAAGATCAGAGAGCATCTTCAAGAGAGATTTCCTTGTTTAGCTCTTACTCCTGCTCTGTCATCATATCTGTTCATCATTGGAAAGCCTGATACAATTATCTACCCATATATATCACACATATACATACACATCAGATTCTCTTATACTATTTATCTAGCTATAACATATTGATTGATCATATTCAAATACATGTGCAAACATATGTCTGTGAACATTCTATCCCAATGGATACCATTATTCCATTGATCCTGTACTGCACCTACACTATTTCTCTACCATATTCTTTCTTTTCTATGAAAGTAGGCTATGCCCTCAGCCTAAAATCCTTTTTTCTCTTCAATCTACTTATTACTCTTCCCTCCTTGTACCCTGTCATGTTGATATATAGGTACTTACAAACACACTTATCTCAACCACCAGATTTTTTTTTTTTTTTTTTTTTTTTTTTTCGCTCTTGTTACCCAGGCTGGAGTGCAATGGCTCAATCTCGGCTCACCGCAACCTCCGCCTCCTGGGTTCAGGCAATTCTCCTGCCTCAGCCTCCTGAGTAGCTGGGATTACAGGCACGCACCACCATGCCCAGCTAATTTTTTGTAATTTTAGTAGAGACGGAGTTTCACCATGTTGACCAGGATGGTCTCGATCTCTTGACCTCGTGATCCACCCGCCTCAGCCTCCCAAAGTGCTGGGATTACAGGTGTGAGCCACTGCGCCCGGCCTCAACCACCAGATTTTAATTCCCAGAGAATACAGATAGACCATGTATCTCTTGCACCAAGCTTGTCCAACCTGAGACCCACAGGCCACATGTGGCCCAGGACAGCTTTGTTTTTTGTTTTTTGTTTTTCTTTTTCTTTTTTTGAGATGGAGTCTTGCTCTGTCGCCCAGGCTGGAGTGCAGTGGCGTGATCTCAGCTCACTGCAACCTCTGCCTCCCGTGTTCAGGCAATTCTCCTGCCTCAGCCTCTCTAGTTGCTAGGACGGTGGCTAATTTTTTATATTTTTAGTAGAGACAGGGTTTCACCGTGTTAGCCAGGATGATCTCCATATCCTGACCTGGTGATCCACCAGCCTTGGCCTCCCAAAATGCTGGGGTTACCAGCATGAGCCACCGTGCCTGGCCCCTAGGACAGCTTTGAATGTGGCCTAACACAAATTTGTAAACTTTCTTGAAAGATTATGAGCTTTTGTATGTGTGTGTGCTTTTTTTTTTTCCTTCTAGCTCATCAGCTATTGTGTTAGTTTAGACAACTCTTCTTCCAGTGTGGCCCAGGAAAACCCAAAGATTGGACACCCCTGTCTTACTCATATTTCTGTCCTAAGTGATTAGTCTACTGTGCTGCACATAGTAGGCATTTTAAATTGTTTCTTTGGTAAGTGAATGAAAATAGGAGAAACATCACAGCCCCAGAGGTGGATAAGCTATTCAGCCACCACCCACCTTTCTCTTACCTTCCCAGTAACCATCTCAGAGCACAGCAGTTTACTCCTTTCTTTACAGTCCTTGTATGCAAAGAGCCTGCAGAGACAGTGTTGTTCAGAAACACCGCCCTAGGCTGCTGTGTTATACCCCTCAAAAGTGGGAGCATCTCTTCCACCATATCCATGGTTGAGCTGAGGGAAGCACCGTGGCATTGGGCAAAATAGCCACGCTGGTACCATGTTCTTGACAACTAGATTAATGGTCCTTTGATGTGACTCAGTAATATTTAATAACACTATTCCTACTGACAAAAGCACAAACAGACCTTATAGCTTATAGTAAAAGAACATTAAAGCAAAAGCAAAAGAAATGCGACAAGCTAAGAGGAGGGTAAGATAGGTGGTGGCTAAGTCCTGACCAAGGAAAACTACAACCTATCATTAACCTAACCTTGAGGCCCCAGCAGCAAAAGTAAAAAAAAAGAAAAAGCAAATTTTATGACATTCAGCGTTTTTTTAAAAAGAAAAAAACTATCCAAGTTAACAATAATCTATTATGCATTTCAAAATAGCTTGAAGAGAATAATTTAAATGTTCCCAGCATAAAGAAAAAATAAATACTTAAGATGATGGATATCCTAATTACCCTGATTTGATATTTACACATTATATGCATGTATCAAATGATCACATCTACCCTGAAAAATGTACATCTATTGTGCAACAATAAATAATTTTTAAAAGCTATTTATTAGAAATTAGAAAGTACATCTACACTCTAAGTAAGATTTTTTATGTAGTTTATTTTACTAGGCAACAAAATGAACATATGCTTATTAAAAGAGTAGTTTATAGAAATTTTTGAAGTGTGCAGAAACAATCTTCATAAGTTTTGGTTTTTGTTTTTAAGACAGGTTCTCATTCTGTCACCTAGGCTGAAGTGCAGTGGCACAATCACAGCTCACTGTAGGCTCAACCTCCTAGGCTCAAGCAGCCTCCTGCCTCAGCCTTTCAAGTAGCTGGGAGTACAGCTGCCACCACACCTAGCTCATTTTTTTATTTCTTGTAGAGAGGGGGTTCCGCTATTTTGCCCAGGCTGGTTTCAAACTCCTGGGCTCAAGCAATCCTCCCACCTCAGCCTCCCAGAGTGCTGGGATTACAGGCAGGAGTGACTGCGTCCAGCCGTAAGTATTTTCAATACATCAATCTTAATAAAATATTTTTATAAATTTATATGCCAACAAAAGGATTTTTCGTAGGAAACTAAAGCAGTACACCTCAGTTGTATAAATTTTGAACGACCTGTATTAAAACAGATAATTTCTATCTAAACCAATAGTGTTATATTGGTTTATATATATATATATGTGTGTGTGTATACACCAATATATATATACCTAATATATATTAATTTACTATTAGTTCAGTTATCTAAGTATTATTAATTTGAGCTAAATCAACAAGGTAAAACTGAGGGGAACATTTCATCCTTCTGATTTTTCTCTTACCAGAGCTATTTTCATGATACGTTTCTTAAGGTGTGTACCTTTGATGTTAAAAGACATCAAGGATTCTACTTAATCCTTGAAATTCTTCCAGGAACCACATCCAAAATAAGCTTCTTCAACCTGGAAAAGCAAAGGAAAATAACAGATTTTACACTTGGGAGTCCATTTTTTACTTTTTCTTTGCCAGACATACACTTTGCTACACTGTGGTTTCAGTCTTCTCCAGAGCGAAGAGAACAGTCTGGAAGGGACTTGCTCCTCCCCTTTATTCCAGCCTCATAAATAAACTCCACCCAACACCCCTTTAGATCCAGCTCAAAAGGGAAAAGAGACACATTGCCATCCATCCTGTAATTCTTCCCTGTCCGGGCCCTCCAGAGCACGATTTAAAACCCCACATAGAGCACAGTTCCCCGGTTGCTGGAAGTGCCGTGGCGCTGTCCACCCGATGGAAACCTGCAGATGTGCTGTTCTTTCATCCCTGCTTTTGTTCCTTTCTGAATGATGTCTGGGCTTACCACATGCTTTTATCCCTTTGCATTTATTAGCCTAAATATGATTAAAGAACTTCTTCAAAAGGTAATAATTTTGTCCCTTTTCCAATTTATTTTCATCAATACCAGTCTGATTTACTTGGCTGATTTGTATGAAACTAAGCCAATGTCTTAGATATTCTGTTCTTAGAGATTCACAAATGCCCAAAAGATATGACAGTGAAGAATGTTTGAGGTATGAAATTACTGGGAAGAAGATGGCTGTCAGAAAGTGGGGAAACACTGTTGCAAATATCTAAGAAGTGAATAACACCAACCTTGTTATAGTACATTTCTATAATTCAGCAAATCCAAATCACTGATGCAGTACTCTAAAGTTATACACGTGGAACAAGATGGGCATCTTAATGGTATATCTAGGACTTTATGCTGAAACATTACTGTTTCTCTACACATTCGTGAGGACAGCAATAGCCCTGCATCTTCCAGTGTTTCCAAAAGAAATAGAGTATTGATCTGTTATGAGTTAAGTCAGAACACCCAGTCAGTAATGTAGAAAGACACACCTATTTTGGCTTGAGTTTTCCAGCTATTTCTAGATAGCCTTAGTACTTTGTTTTGACAACATATGTATTAAGTTGATAAAACCTGCTGCATATCATTTTATATAAAATAAATATGGACATACTATTTTACCTACACTGCCCCTGAACCACACCCTTGCCCTTTGAGAAATATGCTATTGATTTCTTTCTACAAATCCTAGGTAGAAGCATCACCACTAATACCTTAAAGTTGGACAGTGTCTTGCAGTTTTGGAAACAGTCTCACATCCTTTCTTTTGATCCCCCAAACAGCCCCAATAAAATAAAAGAGTATTATGTCCTTTTTGCAGTAGTAGAAACAAGTTCCTCAAGGAGGTAGAGGCCTTGGCTGCAATCACAGAGCTAGTGAGAGAGAGCTCAGCCTTAAAGCCTCGTGTTCCGTGCTGGGAGGCAGCATGGCACTGAAGGCTTCCTGCACTGCCACCTCCCTGTGGTCGACACTGGACCAGGTGTATAGCCTTGCCTGCCCTCAGTTTCCTCATTGTAGAATAAATAATGCTTATCTTGAAGATGAGCAAGCAAGATTAAATAAGATGATGTCTATGAGTTCCTATACTTCAGCATTTTTCCTTTCCTTTTTTAATTTTTTTTTGGGGTTACTTCTTAAGAACCCGCAAGAGAGACCAGACCGAAGAGTCCCTCTGGTTATATTACTCCCCAACTAGGACCCTTCCTTGAACACTCTCAAACTATTTTAAGAGAAACTTTAATGCTGGGTAAAATCCAAGATTTATTATAAAACTATTTTTGTATATTTCCATTCTATCTACCTTTGGTCATTCAATCATTCAGGAAATATTTGTTGACCACCTACCATGTGTCAGGCTGTGTAAATAAGGGAATCATATTATTCAGCATCATGCCCATTTTTTTTCCAAGTCAAATGTTACCATTTTCTAGTTTGATCAAAATATTAGACTTAAAATTTCTATCTTTTCAAGGTTTGAACTTGTGCTTATGAGCAAGAGTGACCACTGAGCCTCTGAGGGAAACAAGAAATGTTTGGAGTACAATTTTTACAGCATTCCTTTAAGAAAAGCATCATTGGAACTAGCAGCTGAAAACCCAACCACTAAATCATAGTGTCTGTTTATGAGTGAGAGCACCTACACACCTATGTCAATATTTCATGGCAGTTGTTCTTGTATTTGAAGGTTTAGTAATGTCATCAGAGCCCACACTCGCCTCGAGTCAAGATACAGCAATAGCTCTGGAGGGTCCTACGATGAGGATAAAAGTAAGTACCAACCGGCTGTGGGCTTTCAGATGGAGCACAGGTGGTCAGAGGATGGAAAATGAGTGCTCCCATTAGTCTTGGTCTAATGACTAAAAGGGCCAATAAATATTAAGTAACCATTTAATCCAACTATGTAGATGAGCATAGAGTCAGCATCCTAAACAGTTATTTTTTTTAGAAAAAGCCAAGCCATGGGCAAATCAAAATTATAAAAATTCAAACTACTATCCAATCCTGTGTTTTTATATTCTTGGCATTTTTTCTTGATGATGCATTTGGGAAAAGGATAGTAAGTCATACTCCCATTAGAAAACAAATGTTGTAGTTCAGTTTTTTCAACTGTCTTGCGAATGGGTTTAACCTTGAAGCTTTCAAAATCTGCTCACTCAGGATAGGATCTGTTTTCATGTTGAATTTCTCAGCGGCATAGTCTCCATAGCGTAGTGAATACCTTGCTAACCTGGGAGTTAGCTTTGTGACAGGAATTTCTTCTGGTAGTTGGGAAAAGCAAAAAGGTCGTGCATTTACTGATTTTGTTTAAGCCCTGGACAGCTTCTGATGCTATTAAGCAGATACAGAGCATTAGTTGGTCACAAGATACAGAAATTCTGAAACCAAAGAAACTGCCAGTGACATTTTAGATTTGCTAAGGAAATCAGTAACCTATCTTGTGAGATTTATTCTTCTCTGTTGGCAGACATTGTAAATCTACTGATATTTCCTGCGTTAGGTTCATTTTCTAAGTTGGTGCATGGGGCTTTTGTAGTTGTTGTTTTGAATTGTTTTGTTTTTAGGGAAATGTACAGAGTCAGATAATAACTAGGTAGTTCTGATGAGGCCGCATTTCAGCTACCCTTGCTCTACTTCTGAATGCCCAGACAGGCATTCATTAAAATACCAATCATTAAATTACCAATGGAAGGCATGTCTAAAATCCATATGTAAATGTCATGCTCTAACATAAGTTAAAGTTAAGCTATGTCCCTATAAAACTTTCACTAGTGTCCAGGTGCGGTAGCTCACACCTGTAATCTCAGCACTTGGGGAGGCCGAGATGGGTGGATCACCTGAGGTTAGGAGATCGAGACCAGCCTGGCCAACGTAGCAAAACCCCATCTCTACTAAATATACAAAAAAATTAGCCAGGTGTGGTGGCAGGTGCCTGTAATCCCTGCTGCTCAGGAGGCTGAGGCAGGAGAATTGCTTGAACCCGGGAGGTGGAGGTTGCAATGAGCTGAGATCACGCCACTGCACTCCAGCCTGGGCAATAAGAACGAAACTCCATCTCAAAAAAAAAAAAAAAAAAAAATTTCACTAGAGCTGTCAATAGGAGGTAAAATAAAGCTGTTTGTGGTTTCCTTCCTTTCTGTCTCTCGTCAGAGGATTGTACCATCCAAACACTGAACAGTCAAATCTCAGGACCGTAGGCCATTACTTTTAGAAGGCACCAGATATTAGAGATGTGGAAAGCAGTACCTTAGAAACGGAGAGTTGGTTCAAGGAAAGTTTGGTTACTGTGACAATATCTGGTAACCCAAAATTTAAGGACAGAAAAATTTAAGTTTAGGCCACCATAAGTTCTCTCAGTATATTTTGGCTGATTGGATATATCTGAGAACATCATTGAAACAAAGAATAACATATCCTTTCCTAACAGAAATCTCACAGTTTACTTTTTAGTTCTTCGGTATTCTTCCTTTTTGTTTTCCTTTCAAGTTTTATTGAAGAATAGCTAATTACTTAGCGGTACATTTGGCAACTAACTTATCCTGGATGATTATCTGAGAAGTTAACTTGCTGCAAGTAAGTTACTTGTAGATAATTTGCTGAGAATTAGAACCAAAATGAGTTACTAGTGCACTTGCTTTAAATTTTTTCTAGGCTAAAATTGTTGTGGCCAAGCTTTGTGGCATAGTCTTACAGGGTTCTGGTGGCTCACTTGTCAGTGTATTAGAAAAAGCCAGTAGTTACGCTTTCCGAGGGAAGTCCTGACCTTTCCATTGAAACCCTCTTAGCCACATGCCAAGAGAAGCAGGGTGTTATTGGTTCTGGTTTTCTGATGGCTGCCCTTGTTCAGAGCCTCACTTGTCAGGAAGGCACCCCTCCACCAGCTCTGTAAGTGTTAAGGCCAGCATTCTACACTGGGCCATCAGCAACAAATCAGTGACCTCACACTACCTTGTAAAAGTGCAGCAAAGAAAATTGGATTGTTGTAAAATTGCCTAAAGGCGACATAGTAAATCCTTCCTCTTATTACATAAACCAATCCCAAGAATAAGCCAGCTTGTCTGAAGTCATATACCTGGGTTAAATCCTTTGCCCACCAGTAGAATTGCTCGTCTTAAATGCTGTTGGCCTGCTTTAGGAGCATGGTAAGAAATAACTTCAGGATGGGTGCCATGGCTCATGCCTGTAATCCCAGCATTTTGGGAGGCCAAGGCAGGCAGATCACAAGGTCGGGAGTTTGAGACCAGCCTAACCAGCATGGGGAAACCCTGTCTCTACTAAAAATACAAAACATTAGCTGGGCATGGTGGTATGCGCCTATAATCCCAGCTACTCAGGAGGCTGAGGCAGGAGAGTCACTTGAACCTGGTAGGCAGAGGTTGCAGTGAACTGAGATCGCACCAGTGCTCTCCAGCCTGGGTGACAGAGCAAAACTCCAACTCAAAAACAAAAACAAAAACAAAACTCCTGTAATAGGTTGCTGTACTTATTTTATTTTATTTTATTTTTTTGAGCAGGGTAGGAAGTGATTGGGGTTGGGGGTAAATGTAAATACAATAGTCAAGAAAAGCTGCTGTGATAAGGTGATATTTGAGCAGAGACTTAAATGAAGCAAAAAAGTGAGCCATGCAACTGTCTGCAGAAGAGTATCCCAGCCATAGGGAACAGCAAATGTAAGAGCCTTGAGGCTGTATTGGGCCCAGCCTGATCACAGAACAGCAGGGAAGCTAGGATGAGTGGAATGGGGTGAGCAAGGGGAGGCTGGTAGGAAATAAGCCAGGAGAGGAACATGAGTCGGGGGGAGTGGCGGGGGGAAGACCTTGTAAGGCCTTAACGGCCACAGGCGTGAATTTGTAGGGAGCCACTGGAGGGTGTTGAGCAGAGAAAGAGACACTACTGAATTTGATTTAAAATAATTGGTCTGTCTGCTCTGTGGACCATAGACTGTAGCAGCACAAGGATAGAGGCAGTGAGACACTTAAGGAGGCCATTGCAGTAGCCCATGTGAGAGAGGATGGTACCTAGATGGAGAACAGTACTCAGATTCTGGAGATGCTTTGAGGACAGAGCTCTCTGAATATGTTGATGATGACAAGTTACTGAACCTCACTTTCTTCTCTACAAAATAGAGAAAAAGTAGATACCTATTATTGGGCCATTAATATGTGAAATACATAGGACAGTACCTGGCATCAAGTAAGTCCTCTGTGCTAATTCCTAATGTTATGATTTTTATTATTACTGTTATCATCATCATCATTGTAATTAGTATTCAGGTGTAGGATATGAGGGGAAAGTCAGGGATGACTCTAAGTCTCTTGTCCTGAGCAAACTGGAAATCTGAAACTGTGCTTTTTTCTTTTTTATTGAGACAAGAGTCTTGCTCTTTCACCAAGGCTGGAGTGCAGTGGCGCGATCTTGGCTCACTGCAACCTCCACCTCCTGGGTTCAAATGATTCTGCTGCCTCAGCCTCCTGAGTGGCTGGGATTATTACAGGCACACACCACCTGGCCCAGCTATTTTTTTTTGTATTTTTAGTAGAAAGGGGTTTCACTATATTGGCCAGGCTGGTCTCAAACTCCTGACCTCAAGTGATCCACCCGCCTTGTCCTCCCAAAGTGCTGCAATTACAGGCTTCAGCCACTGCAACTGGCCAAAACTATGCTTTATTGAGATGAGGAAGACTGGAGGAAGAGCAAGTTTTCATAGAGATGGGATTCAACATGATTTATTTTTCTTTTTGCATGTCTGTGTTCTGTGTTGCTTTATGATAAATGAGTATAAATTAGTTACCAAGTAATAACTAATCAAGTAGTTACCTAAACAAGTAATTCTAACCCATTTGATCATGTAATTTGTGCTCACTAAATTAAATGATTAGGAAGTTATTTCTGGCCAGGCACTCACACCTATAATCCCATGGGAGGCCAAGGTGGGAGGATCACTTGAGGCCAGGAGTTTGAGACCTGCGTGAGCAACATGGTGAGAGCCCATCCATTTTTTAAAAACCAACAATTTTTTAATTAGCTGGGTGTGGTGACACACACCTGTAGTCATAGCTACTCAGGAGGCTGAGCCAGGAAGATCTCTTGAGCCCAGGAACTCGAGGCTGCAGTGAGGTTTTTTTTGCTTGTTTGTTTGTTTTAAACAGAGTCTCACTCTCTCACCCAGGCTGGAGTGCAGTGACGCGATCTTGGCTCACTGCAACCTCCGCCTCC